AAATTCCTAGATTGATGCTATAATATGAATTTGATATGATCCACCGTCTAAATTGATATGCTTTTCCATAGAAATTAGAACAAGCACAATACTACTTTAATAATTCAAGCAACTCAACAAGAATACGAAGATAAACACCTACAATTTGACAGACAAGCGATCTATACCAATTCCCACAGTTCGAGAGGTAGGAAATCTTTCTTAAGTCTAAACCTATTCCTCACAATTCAATGCATGCATAAACGAAACCCTAAGCATACTAAGCCTATTTGTACCAAAAAATAATAATAATAAAAGACTAAATTGTCTTTCGACTTACAAAAGAAAAAATTGCCCTTAGGCTAAGCACCGACATAACAAAATGCCAATGATTCATGCTAAGCCCATGAGAGACACTATAATAGGGCTAACATTTGTTCTCATAGAAGGTATTGGATTCGAGGTATTTGAACTTTTGTGCAGAGTTTAAGAATTTGGTGGTATGAACTAGCTTTTTGCAAGGCCTTAAGAGAAGCACCAACTAGACTGACATTGGCTGCCCTAAAGGGAAATGAGTTTGAGGAGCCGATGCTTGACACAGGGCAACCCTAAATAAAAAGATTTCTGATTTTCAGACGGACAATCTATCTCTTATGTTGTCAGTGCTGAGGGAGGTCCAGCATATCAGCACTTTAATAAAGATGATGAATTTCTAAGCTATTTTTGTTAGACTATAGGGGATATGTTGAGTGATATGTTTTAGTTTAGTTTGACACTCTACCCGCATACAGATTACCAAACAGAAGTGGTGAACTGCAAATTTGGAAATTTTCATAAGTATTTTTGTGGGAAAGAATATTCAACAGTGAGATCCATGTTCTTTAAGGAAAAAAAAAAGAAGCCTCATTTAACCAGGGATAATGATGTGGGAGCTTTCCGCTTATGCTAAATTATGCGAAATTAACATGATCCTACTATCTCGCAAGTTCTTTAATGGGAAACTTTGGATACTGCAATTGTGGGGAGGTTGCTGCATCCGAACCCCATATTTTTTTTTATATTTTTCAGACTTCTATCCCTTTTTAATTTCTTTCTGTTTACTCTATTCTAGTCATGTTTTTTGTACGAGAAAATTATTCATATTGTATTATTTCCTGTTTTAGAAGACTTTTGACATTATTATTGTGTTTGGAGACATATTATGTGTTGTATGCTCTTTGACATGCTGTTTCCTTTCATTTTGCTAGTAGGGTGTCTATATCTTGCTCAGGAACAAGTGGTAGATCTTTGTCGCCATCCGTACATCGTCGTTTCAGAGCTTTCTTTGCTGTCTTTAGCTGAGACAGCTGCTGAACGTCATTTATCCTTCTTCAAAAACCGTCGACTGTCCATGCCTCGTTGCTATTCCACAACACCTCCCCCCACTAAACCTACTCACTAAACACTTTCTAGGAGCGCTAGTACGGTATTAGAGAAGGCCATTCTTATTATCTTGTATTATCTTGTGGAAACTATGGAACTTTTCTTGCAGCATATAATAATGAAAGTGTGATTAAGGGCGTCTAAATGGATGTTGTATTGTGTTACTGCACTTTGCTGGCCATTCTTTTTTTTTTCTTTTAATAAACTGTTTTGTTGACATGCTTCTTTATTTCTTTAAAAGCTTGGGGGTTGATTTAAGATACACATGCAGCAATGTTTAGAAGTAACAGCTTGTTCATAACTTAAAGCTAGCATCTACAACATCAATTTTGCAATTTCAAGCAACAACTGCCAAGCAGTCTCGCATAAAAATCTTTTTTTAGTTGGGTCTTTTTTTGTTATTAGCACTGTGTGTATTTCTGATATGATTTGACCACAAAATTGGCACGTTTTTTCATAGAAATTAGGACAAACACTAATTTTTATTTCAATAATCCAAACAATTCAGACAAATAGAAAAGTTAAGCACCTACAATTCGAGAGGTAGACAATCTTTCCAAATTTCTATAATTCGAGAGGCAAGAGATCTCTCCCAAACCCTTAACTTAGAACTCACAACTCAGTCCTATGCATATCCCTAACCCTAGACATAACAAGCCTATTTATTCCCAATGATAATAATGATAAAAGACTTAATTGCCCTTAGGTGTACAAAAGACAAATTTGCTCTTAGGCTAGGAGCCCTCGTAACAATACTTCCTTCCCAAACGACACCTTTTTCTTAAGGTGGGAAAAAATGAGTGTTCCTCCCCCACAATTGTTTCAATTTCTTCATTCTCTGCCTCCACATCCTGCACTATGAGAACTTGTAATCTTTAATCTATGCAACGACGTTCTGGGGTAAACTTCTGATCACACCGATAACATAACCTCTTGGCTCGCTTCTCCTGAATCTCTATCTCAGTGTTGCTCCTGGTCGTAGTCCATTATTCGTGTCCTGTGCGGCCTCCCTCTGGACTTTCACTGTTTGAACGTTTGGCATCGTTGTGGTTGCAACAGTTCAGTACGATGCTACATTTGTGATGCTCGTGCTGGCTTTCTTAATCTACTTCTTGTCTTCCACCATTTCTGCTCGCTCATCATATTCCTTAATCCCCACAGTCTTAGTAGTTGGAGTGCTGCCTGTATGCTGGGCTTTATTCCCTTCATAAAATTCCCCTCTAGTCCTGCTTCAGAAATTCCCTACAGCCGTCCCAACAATAGTTCAAATCTTTCCCTTCCCTATATTCCTTGACCGTCCTCTTCTGAGTCAAGACATAGAATTGCTTGTGTAGGTTTCCTTCCCAAATTACTCGGAAACGTTCTAACAAACAATCCTTAATTTCATCCAACCAAACGAATCGGGTATCTAACCTCCCTTGACTGAAATTAGACTAAGAATTTCCTCTCCAAATAAAATTCTGCCGCTATGAGTTTCTCCTCCCATCGAACCCATTCATCTCAAAGTATTGCTTTGCTCGATATATCTACCCATGTGCGTCTTTCCTCTTGAAGATCAGTAGCTTCAACTTCCTAACTCTTAACATCTTCACCCCAACTTACTCTTCCTCCATTGTTTCTCCCCATTTATTGAGGGTAAAAGTTTTTCAATCGTAGCCATATTCATTCCCTGTTTCTGTCCATTCGTGCTCCTTCATACTTTTGGCATAATTTCTTCTCCATATTTCGAGCCATCTTTCTCCATAAAAAATCTTTAATCCCCCCTCCCCTTTCCATGGGCCTCCCTAATCGGAGCCCTGAGAGGGGGTTCTTGATGGTGGATGTTTTCCTTCTCATCCTTATATTCGATCTCTTTCCATTTAGGTTTTGCAAATTTTTGAGCCGCCGACGTGGTCTTGGACTGCATCTGTACTAGTCTCTTCATTATCTCTCACATTTCTTTTATGCTCTTGAATACGCTCTCCATTCGGTTTGTTGGAAGAAAACCTATCTTCCATGGCGACAGACCTTTCTTCCACTCCCATTTTGAGTTGTCTCACTTCTTCCTCCAATTTCTTCTCCAAATCGTCTATTTTCTTAATTGCCATTACTCATAGAAAAATTTTCGATCACAAAGACGGAATCCTCAGTATGAAATGCCGTTCAAATCCTCTAAATCACAATATCCAGTGCTGCAAAACTGCCATCTAGTAAAGGAAAATGAAGAAATTCCCGAGGCAAACCACTTAAAATTCCAGAATTTTCAAGTTTGCATTGTAAAAAATGACGGGTTTGGTCACTCTGTAGGCCTCAATCCCATCATTGCTTACCAACTACGTGAATTGCGATTATATTGCATGAGGCACACCGTAATCTCGCTGTCAGCACCTTGCAAGCCTTGATTGACGCAGTTTGTCGCTTTCTTTCGCGTCGAAGTCAGGTGCTGTGATCACGGGGATGCGACTGAAAGACGCGATCCTTTTCTACATGACGATCTCAAGCCGAAGGAGGAGAAAGATGCTGCCTCTACGTATATCGTGATTCTTCCCAGTTAGCTCAAATTGCGGTTGTTTCGTGAGGTGAAGTCATGGAATCGTCCCCACGTCGCGATCCATCCCATGTCGCGATCACTCTGCGTTGTCTCCTTCCCAACAAGCTCCGACCCTCTGTGATGTCGGTGCCGCCTTTCGAGATAGCTCTAATCATGACTATATCAGTCCTTTGTACGCTATTTAAACCGCGTGGAATCATCGCTTCAAAGCTTTCCCCTTGAGCTTCGGGTCTTGGTAAGGCGCCATCGTTTCGCCACCCCCGCGACTGTATGCGAAGTTGTCGGTTCTATCGGCTTTGTACGCTGAAATTCTTGTCAGGCAAGCCGCTCGTCGATTGATCCTCTCTTCCATCGATCCATTTCTCAGAATTTTGATCTTTGATATCAATTTGATGATGCGATCACAAAATTGGCACGTTTTTCTATAGAAATTAGGACAAACACTAATTTTTATTTCAATAATCCAAACAACTCAGACGAATACAAAAGATAAGCATCTATGATTCAAAGGTATGCGATCTCTCTCAGTTCCTACAATTCAAGAGGTAGGAAATGTCTCCCAAATTCTAAACCTAAGACTCACGACTCAATCTCATGCATATCCTTATCCCTAGACATAACAAACCTATTTATATCCAATAATAATAATAATAATAATAATAATAAAAGACTAAATTGCCTCTAGGTGTACAAAACACAAATTTACCTTTAGGCTAGGAGCCCTCAGAACAATTTCTCGGTGTCCACAACTGCAATATCATTGTCCCATTGTACAACTTCTGCCTGCTTGTTATCAAAAAAACCTGCCGCTTGTATTATTAACAATTTAGAATTCTATTTTCCTTTATTTCTATTTGATATCTGTTTTATATTTAGGATTAATATGGATGAAAGTATCCTTCTATGCTATATTATGTTACACTTGTCAAATTTCGAGTGACGCAGACTTCGATATGCTGTGCAGCTATAAGTTTAAATATAATTTCCAGCAAGTTAGCCTTTACCACTCTCTTTATTCCTTTATTTTTGTATATGATTTGAGACTAAGATGTATGAAAAACTTCTCCAGCTTCCCGATTCTATGAAGCATAACCAAGCTGACTTGTACCTTGAAACTTACCAAGTTCTTGATCTGGAGATGAGCCGTTTGCGTGAAATTCAACGGTGGCAGGCATCTGCAGCTTCAAAAGTAAGTATCTTCATATTCTCTTTGCATTTATTTACATTTTTTTTTCTGATCTCATTCTTTATCTTCTGCATTTTTTTTTGAAACAATATCTAACTTCAGTTGCATAATATGTCTTATTGCCGGTGTTTTATCCAAAGTTATATTTATTTTTTTGCTTCTGAGATCTATTCTTTTAGCTTCCACACTGATTCAAGGACATTTATTTTTAATTTTCCTAGTTATGTGTGCATGGCTATGCATTATTATAAAAAAAATTTATTTTTCCAATCATTAAACTACAGAGTATCTTTTCTATTTTAAAGAATATTGAATATTTGTGCATAAGGCATGCAACATGCTATCTGTATAGGTGAGTCATATCTTATTTAGTATTCGATGAGAATCTAAACAAACTACTAACAAACGCCTATGTAGTTGTCAAGGATGCAGAATATATAAAGGCAGCTATCTATTTTGTTGCGATATATTTATTTCTTCCTTTTTTTTCCAATGATATAAATGAGAAGTTAATTTTTTCAAATTGCAAACTTTGATCAGGGTTTTTATTCATTGCTGGTTGGACCTTGCTAAAATATGTTTGATTTATCCTTTAGCATAATTGATTAGCTGGAAGTATCACTAAAACATTAAGGGACCGTTTATGATCACTTTTTATTATTATTTTATTTTATTTTATTTTGTTTTCCTTATGTTTTAATTGAAACAAATCATTTATGGCATAATTCATTAGCATATGATTATTTTTAAAAATATTCAAACATCTTAAAGTTGTTTCGAGTATTTTAAAAAATAGTTTAATTTGATTTTAGAAAAAAAAAAATGTAAAATGCTATCTAAACAAACATTTTTTTTTGGAAAGAAAAATAAAAAAATAAAATGTGAGAACCATCCTGAACAAGCTCTAAGCGATTAAGAGTCCGTTTGAAGCAGCTTATTTGGAGCGGTGGAGTTTTGAAAAAACACCTCGCCTGTTTGGGTAAACTGCGCTTTGACAGCTTATGCGTTTTAAAAATGCTGAAAAGTGTTTTCATATGTTTTCACACCGCACCTATCTAGGTGCGGTGACAGCTTTTGGGCAGCAGTTTAGCTTTTCCAAAAAAATAAAAATTTGTAATAGTCGCCGCACCTAGCTTATCAGCAGATTATTCAATAAGCTGCAGCTGCCCCAAACAGACCCTTAGTTTAGCTACTTTCAAAGTTCTGGATATGATCTTTTCTGCCCTTGTAAATAAGACTAATGTGTTGATATCATTACAAAGACGGGAGCAGGAATATGACAGAGTTATGATGGTGAATTGTTTAGATTTGAGTTGCTACAGTCCATTTGTATGAAATGATTTGATTTGAAATTTTCTTTTAAAAATTCAACAATTTTCTTTTATCTCTTGCAGCTAGCAGCAGACATGCAGAGATTTTCTAGGCCTGAGCGGTTGATAAATGGACCAACCATAACCCATTTCTGGTTTGTTGTTCTCATGTCCTTAAGCATTTTAAGAATCACAGTTAACTAGAATGAACTTGTCTGCAGGTCAACGACATGAATCTTAGGATTTGCAACAATAAAGCAAAAGTTAGCGTTCATTTTCAAACATAAATTTTTTGGTGTGTATTTTTCAATATTTTGCAGTCTTGATGGATTAGCTCAAATTAAATTTTATTAAAAAATGTAAACACCAGAGTACGTAGGTGCGAATTAGACCTAAACATGACTACCATTTTGCACATTTCTTTTTACCATTCGTTGACTTGAAAATAATCTTATCCTTCAATATTTGTAGTAACAAGATTGTTTATAAGCTATATCAGTAAAAAGAACTTGGTATAGTGTGTTCATCTAACCGTTGAAGAGGAGCTTTTAGTGGAGAATTAAATAGGCGGTGGAACTCATAGTGGAGAATTAAATAGGCGGTGGAACTCATATGAAGTATGATGCTTCGAAAAATCTGATTTGTATGCTTAATTGCCTGGAAAGATTTATCCAAACTGTAATTATTATCCATTAAATCTTGAAAGGAATAAAGGACTCATAGATTTGAACTCAATTATTACTTTTAGTTCTAATGAATAACTTAAAGAAATTTGGCAAATGTTTCAAGTTTCAACTTGATGAGTATTATTGTATAGATGCTGGTCGATTCACTTCTCTTCTTAAAGCCTAGTGTCTAGCTTTAGGCTTCTTATGTTTGACCCTCTTAGAGGACTAGTACGGGACACACACCATTTAGAAAATTCGAGTCATCTCGTCACTCTTTCGAATATTGTATGGGCGGTCCCGAATCATCAGCATTTTGCTGAGTTGGTTAGAACCGACATATGAAAGTCGAGTTGAGTTCCTACATGAATAGGAGCAGCCCTTAGGGAAACCTCTTGCGACTCGAATTCTCGCGAATTCCGCATTTTGTGCACGCATTACACCACTCACGATTTGAACTTGAATTGACTTGCCCGTCGGCGAACTCGTCCGGACCACCCCGGATGACGAAACAGACCACATCGATGCATTCAGACGTCGACTTTAGCTATAAATGACACCCATGTCACTATGGTTCCGCGCAAGAGCAGTTAGCGCGAAAATCGATGCACATTTTTTTAATTAGTGAGGCACGGGCTCGGGCTCAATCTAGGTTCAACTCGGGTTCGATTCGGGCTGAACACGGGCTGAACACGAGCTCGATTATTTCAAATTTCAAAATTTGAATTTCAAATTAACCATTAAATTTCACATTAATTAAATTTAATTGGAGAATATTATTTTCCAAATAAAACTCCACTGCTCATGGAAACAAATTAATTCCTCGCCCAATGCAAGAGTAATGGGTATTTGGAATTCGCGGGATACAAATCCAGCTCGTCTCTTCCTCTCCAGGCATTCGACCCCTGCTCCTCTGCTCGATCCCGCTCCCCCTCTGCGATATGAGTTCCTCTCTCCCGCTCGCCTCTTCCCTTTGCGCCAGAAAAGCTCGCCTCCTCCCTCTGCGCAAAAGAACGCCGCATCCCCTTTCTCTCGACATCGAAGCCACTCGCCTTCTCGTCTGCTCTCCTCTATGCACTGCAACCAAACCACTCGACTCCCTCTCCATAAACCCTCGCTCGACAGACTCCTCCTTGTGCCGAAGCCTGCTCCCCGCTCCTCTACTCGACTAAAGAAGCTCTTGACTTCTCTCTCTCGGCTTCACCTTCCCTCTGCACCGAAAGCTTCAGGAGACACTCTTCTTCATAGGCAAAAGCCTAGTCGAATTCCCTCCTACTTGCAGCATTTGAGCAATTGAGATTGTCTCGTTACCGCAACTCTCACCTCTTCTAGGGCTGCACTGTTCCCTTATCCTTCTAAGGTGTATTCAGCAATCTTTACTGTCCTTCTTAGCAATTTTAAATATAAACTTTTCTAGCATTTATTTGAAGGAATGATCGTTGCATGTCATAGTCCTTTGGCATTAAAACTTGCATTCAAGACATGATTTGTAACAGCTATATCTTTAAGCCTTTTAACGGTATATCGATGATCAAACTTTAGCAAGCAACAACAAATTTAGGCTTTATTTGGGTAATATTATGCTATGTTTGTGCAAATCAAGTTGCCAATATTTCCATAATAGATCAGTGTGTTGCTCTATGTTTGAGGCTATAAAGAAAAAGGGACGGCTTCACTTTTGATGTCGGATCATCCGTCATGTTTGGGGTTCAGCGATAAGGGTAGTCTGAACTTATTAGACGAGCATTGGAAGCTCTTGATAGCAAGTTGCAGGTCATGCCCGATCCTACTACTGTTCACTTTTACCTTCCAGATAACCTCTCGGTTTGCGTACATAGGGAATATGATACATTCATTTCAGAACTTGTTAACCATTTTCCACATGCGAAGGAAGGGATACATAGATTTTATCATGAGTGCTGGAAGATCCTATAATTCGTTGAATTTATTGGAGCTCAAGTCATTGGAGGAGCCCATATACCTTCTTGGACAGTTTTTTTTAAGAAGCCTTTTGAGTGTCTGACAACTGCTTTCTATTTGCCTCAATGTACCGACAATATTGCTCAAAAGTTTATAATAGATCCTCAACTGCTGTCCTTCATTGACGCTGAGTGTTTCATTGTGAGCACAGTCAATGCTCTGCACACTCCAATGATAAATGCAAGCATGGTTCTTTGTGATAGACATTTTGGAGGTATCAATTACCCTGCTGGTGGTGTTGGTGGTATAGCAAAGGCTTTGGCAAATGGACTAGTTAATAGGGGCAGTAGACTACTTTATAAGGCAAATGTGACGAACATTGTGCTCAAAGATGATAAAGCTATAGGAGGCCTTAGGATCACCGTGTAAGCTTGCTAGTTGCTGCCCGGAGCTGTAGGAGGTCTTAGGATCATCGTGTAAGCTTCCTAGTTGCTGGCCGAAGCTGTAGGAAGCCTTGGGATCACCGTTTAAACTTGCTAGTTGCTGCCCGAAGCCGTAGGAGGTCTTAGGATAACCGTTTAGGCTTGCTAGTTGATGCCCGGAGCTGTAGGAGGTCTTAGGATCACCGTATAGGCTTGCTAGTTGCTGCCCAGAGCCGTAGTAGGCCTTAGGATCACCGTTTAGGCCTTCTTGCTGTTGCCCGGAGCCGTAGGAGGTCTTAGGATCGCCTTTTAGGCTTGCTAGTTGCTGTGCGGAGCTGAGGAGGCCTTAGGATCACCTTGTAGGCTTGCTAGTTGATGCTTGGAGCTGTAGGGGGCCTTAGGATCACCGTGTAAGCTTGCTAGTTGCTGCCTGGAGCCGTAGGATGGTTTAGGATCATCGTTTAGGCTTGCTAGTTGCTGCCTGGAGTTGTAGGATGCCTTAGGAGCACTGTTAGGAGTTACTAGCTGCTGTCTGGAGTTGTATGAAGCCTTAGTATCATCGTTGGAAGTTTCTAGCTGCTATTTAGAGTTGTAGGAAGCCTTAGGATCACCTGTTTGGAGTTCCTTGCTGTTGTCCAGAGTTGTAGGAAGCCTTAGGAGCGCTTTTCGGAGTTCCTAGTTGCTGTTATGACTCGTTTTGCTGTTTTTTATACTAGAATTTCTGTTTTCTCCATTTTCCTGCAAATAAATTCAAATTTTCTGCAAATTATATTATGTTTTTTGAGCTAACCACGCAGCGGGAACAACAGCAGTAGATACGCCATGCACGCAAGTACATTTCGCACACAAGTACATTTCATTTATTGTCATTTTTATCACTGTAATTTACTCTTGCTTTACTGTATCATGTATGCATTGTTGCAATTTTATTTTAAAAATAAAACAATTTTTAAAAAATTAAACAACTTTTTTTTCAAAAAAAAAAAACAATTTTAAAAATCAAAAAACATTTTCAAAATAAAAAAAAAAAACATAACGCGTAATTTTGAATTCACGGGAGTCTCTCGGATGAGATAACCCACAGTTGCTAATGTGATCTCTTCAGTTTAAATGAGCTTAACAACTTGTTTAGACTAAGTAAATTCAAAATAACATAGTGGTACCGGAACTAGGGAACCGTGAGATCCTAACCGGTGTCTCTCTAATCAACTTTAACTCCCCATAATGCTTGAATGACAACAAAATCAAAACTTTGAAACACACCTAATAAAACCTTTTGAACCTTAGACTTTAGGACTGCTACTTTGACGAGGAGCTTGGAGCATACGCCGTGGGCAGCACGAAGAGGACCTACAGAAGGACATCTTCAAGACAGCAAAACATGCCTACACTAACTAAACTTTCTTAGTCTAAATAATAACCCATAAGACTTCAAAGTTGTCGTGTAGCAAAACATGACTACAGAAGTTCCTAAATCCTCATACATTTTTTAGGTATTTGCACAACCATGTTATGCAGCGTACGTTTGAACTCACATTAGGTTCCGAGGTTGTCGTGTGTCATGACTTAAACCCTCCTATCTCTGTGGGCTATTTACATAACAAGTTATTATGCAAATGTAAGTCTCAAATAATAAAATTGATAGTATTGAAAAGTCAAATAACATTATATTCAAAACGCAATCACACAATAAGATAATTTGGAAAGTTACTGGGGACCTCCTCATATTAAATTAAATTTAAAAATTATTTTGAAATAAAAAAGCTGACCAACAGACCCGACCTAGTAAGTTTGAATATCAAGGTTGGAACAGATGGTCGGATGAAGAAAACACTATCTAAATATTTTCATTGTTTAAACAAAAAAAAAGAAAGAAATCCAAACATAAAAGAACCATATAAGTACAAAGCTTTAATTTACAAAAATTCGTTCAAATTTAAAACTTTTACAATTGATAGAAATGTAAAAATTAAAATGCGTTATGTATCTTCTCAGGGTGCACAATGTTTGTAAACATAGAATCTAGGATTTATCCACTCTAAAGGAGCTTTCTCTAAAATTTTAGCAATTGGAGATACGAGTTAAATGAATCAGTGAGTAAAATGCCTCTAAATTATAATAATTCATATTTTTATTTTTTTTTATAAAAATAAAGTAAACATTAAAAAGGAGAATAAATAAATCAATTTTATTGTTATTTTTATTTATTTTGTATAAATCATCTGTCAAAAGGGTGCCATCGTCTAAATATGTACAAAAAATACACCTTTGATAACCTTTTCCAAAACATATATATATATATATATATATATATATATATATATATATCTCACTTTATTTT